ATTGTGTGGAATCTCCAGAAACGCTATTCAGAAAATATGCAGTCCTCTTCGCTACAGACGCCGGGACGCGTCAGGGAAGCCGGGATTGGCGCGGCGCCAGCCAGTTCTCCACCCATTGTAGTCGCCTGCCAGCTACCACATTGGTGAAGAACGTTCTGGCGCCACCCCATGCCTATCCCCCTGACACGCCCCAGCGTCCGCAGTGAACAAGACTGTATGTTTGACTGCAATCAAAATGGCTAACTACTGTATAGTAGCCCAGAATTCATAAATGACAGTACCTGTGAGCTGAGAATCTCAACTGCTTCCTGATGCTTGGCGTTTCGAAGGTCGTACCCGTTCACAGATAGAATTGCATCACCAACAAAGATTTGACCACATCGATGAGCAGGTTGACCGGGTTGGATTTCAGATATCACTATCGGTAATGCATGCTCCGAGCCACCCTGGAAATAAAAGAAATTTTTCTCAAAAGAAAAACGAGAGAACAGCTGCATACAGCACACCATTTGAGTCTGCTACACCCTTTAGATGACTTTGTTACTACAGCTGATATCATAGCAGTAAGTGAGGCGATGCCAAGGGGCACGGAATGAGTCTCCCGCGCCGTTTTCAACCAGTGGTGGTTATCTTCCTGAATCGAACAGCAGCCAATCACTATTGATAGAGACCAGCAGCGTGGGGGTGGTTCAATTTGCCCGTTCTGACAGGTGGTGGATGACTGAGGCGGCACATGATGCCTGTTTCTGAAGCACGCTCCCCCGTCGTTGTCTACTGGGGCTGAAAGAGCAACGACGAAGGTTATGTAACTCCGACATGCCCTACATGGAATTGCCTGCCGAGCAGTGCTTGTGCGGCACACAGCGAAAAAAGACTGTGTCTAGACGAGTGCTTCGTTGACATCCTGACAGTATCAGTCATTTCCCTCATGACCTCACTCGCATCATTCGAAATAGAGGAGAGAGAGCCAGTTGCAGAACAGCTGCACCATCAGGTACCAATCAAAAATGGAAGTTGGGCGTTGCGTACTGCAGTGGGTGGTGCCTTGCCTTCGTCATGAGCGGGATGGGTCGTTACCACGTATTTTCGATACACGACAGAGGTATATCCTCTGTGCTTGCGATCAGAACTACCTTCATAG